ATTAAATACATCTTTGTCAGCAATATGGTCAACAAGAAAAAAGCCATAAAACAGTTGATTTTGGTATGTTATAAATTAATCATTTTCATAAATACTCTGTTTTTCTTTAATTTTTATTTGACCAACTGAATTTGTTTTTTGAATGGGGGTAGGATTGTTGGTGAGTAGGCATGCCACTAACAGGACAGAACTCAGGACTCAAAACTCTGAATTCAGGGAAAATCCAAAACAGCAACCCAGGTTGTAACCTCTAGAATTGGAGAATTTTCAATCAGGTGCAGATGCAAATTTTATTTTAGAGAGAGGTATAACACAAAGTAATTATCACATAAATGCTGGTCCTCATCAGTGATCAATGCCCATATGATGACAGTCAAGCCTGGTCTGAGGGGAAGACAAGGGAATGATTTGTCCAAAGCCTTCCAACATTGGGGACCTTCACCTATGGGAAAAAATTCCACAATTATGAGGCGTGTTAAGAGCACCCAACTACATGTTTGTGACAGGAAAATTTAATTAAATCTGACACCTGTGATCAATATCAGATTTATTATTCATAAGGAACCATGATTGTTAATCAGGAAAAATAATTTATTATTGTGAACCCCAGAGATCTGGGTAGACACACATTTCTGTGCTTATTATTAATATATAAAATTGTTATGCAATCATCTAGATCTTATATACATTGGAATTAATGAGAGTGAATATAACAAACAAACCTTAGTTTTTACAAGTATAATCTGTGCTTATTATTAATATATAAAATTGTTATGCAATCATCTAGATCTTATATAAATCGAAGTGAATATAACAAACAAACCTTGGTTTTTACAAATATAATCTGTGCTTATTATTAATATTATTTATTAAATATGTAAATAAAAGTCCTTCTAATGGTTATACTTGATGAATGTTTTATCAATTATTTGTAGTTATATAGCAGTTGATTGAAGTGTTAAAAGCAAGATCTATGAAGCTTGTAAAGTGATATTATATATATGTATATACATTAATGAAACTTTAATCAAAAATCAACAAATCTTTCTTTAAGTTAACTGACATTTTGTTAATAGAAAGAAGTCCATTATATGAATTCATTTTTGTTTGAAAATATAATAAATATCACCAAGTTAATAAATTTGCTTGATACAACTTTCTAGTTCATCCAGTGATATATATATTATAAAAAAAATTAATACTTTTCTATAAACAAATTCTAAAATAAATATTTAAAGCTTGGAAATTAGAACTTATTATTGCATTAATTATTATTATGTAAAAAAAAATTAATAGAAAGATTGAATTGTGCATATCCAAATTTCTTATAGAACTTATAGAGCTGGTAGACCAACTTCACGTTAAGTTTTTCTTCGAATCTTATTTGTTTACCCTGGCAAAAAATATGTCAAAATAAAGGGTTATCCACAAAAAATATCCGCTAATTTCGTGAAACCTCAGAATATCCAATTTTTATTGGCGGGTTGGTGCGTGTTATCCTTATTTAGAAATCGATTTGGCGATTGCGGATATTTTTTGTGGATAACTACATGATAATGGGTTTTCAATTTTACATATAAAATTATGCACGAAGATCATTAATTTTATATTACTAATATATTAATACGAGTGACACTTGACGCCCCGTTACATATAAAATTATGCACGAAGATCATTAATTTATTTTACTAATATATTAGTGTACACATCGATCAAATCACAAACTTCTTTTTTTGTCTTTAAAAAAAAATGTCTAACTATAAAGATTTAAGAAGCCAAGAAGACATCCGAGGAGCTCGTGAGTAAGTGTTTTAAGAATGGTGGTGGTGGTTATGATGCATTACAACTTTGTCGTCACTCTAGTTTAATTTAAAAATTTTTTGTCTTTATGTTTCTTAGGCTGATATCATCACCGGAAACAACAACTACTGACACTGATAATATCGTAATTTATAATTTAAAGAATAATCAATGAGTCGATTTGTATTATAAAAGTCATTAAAAAATAAAATTTTAAAATCAATATATTTAGATTATAGTTGACGAAGTACAATTACCACCACCAAATTACGGAACTTCAACAACTCCTCAGTTAACATCACCATCATCTATGTTATTAAATGATCCAACAGATCGTCAGCTTTACGATTCAATGGTTTTAAATTTCATGCGTGACCATAATAATGACGATGAAAATATTATGAGTTTCGAAAAAGCTTATGATGGTCGTGCCAAAAGCACAACAAATGAATCTACTTTGGAGGCAGCAATAGAAAGTCTTGCCAATTATGATAATAATAAAATCAAAGTATTTAATTGTTTGAGTATATATTTATATCTGTTGGAATGTATATGTTAAATGCTGTGAATTATTTTCATTAATAGTTTTTCAAGGAATTTGTCCCAATTTTTGAAGAATTTAAGGAGAAACAAAAAGATATTGTTTACTCGTAAGTATCTAAACTTATCCGATTTGATTTTTTTTCACATGAGTAGAACGTTAAATATTTCCATTACATAGCTGTACAAAAGACGATATAATGGATATAAGAGGTTGTAGTGATTTCGCAAATTATTTAACTGTTGAACAATACAAAAAACTTTTATCCGTTAGACCTAAAAAACAAGCAGTTTTACCAAAAAGTTGGGTATCGGCTATAAATGATTATTATACGGTAAGCATTGAAAAAGATTATTATTTTTACCCATTATAACTAGGTTTCAAAGCAATATTTACAAATATTAATCGTCACATTTTATAGAACTTTCAAAACGATGTGAAAAAATCGCTTATAGATTGGAGTAATTTAACCGACGATTTGATTACGTCAACAGATGAAGATACTGGAACAAGACAAATTAAAAAATATCTATACGAAGTTATGTCACCTCTGTAAGTATTGGTTATTTGAAAGATGATTTCTTCCATCGACTAATGCTAAACCTTTCATCTTGTGTTGCAGAATTAAATCGTTCACTAAACCTATTCCACCTATCACTGCAACAAACACCAGTGAGCACCACTACTGGTCTGAGTTCGCCCATAGATTCTTTTCCAGAGCATTGGAGGATTTCGTGGGACTCGATTGGCGCGTGTAAGTATTGGATTTGATAAGAACATTTACTATTATGTTTGATTGCATGAATTAATATCTCTTTTTTTCAGCATAGAGGTTCCAGTGTTTGCATCCAAATACAGAAAAAATTATGGGCTTGACCATACTACACAGACTGTAGTTGAGGGTAAATCAGCTGATTTGTTAGCCTGGACCTGGGAGACAGGAGAAGAAATATTTGTTGGAGAACAAGCAGGACCACCCACAAAGCCAGATCTTACGAAATTAGCTACAGATTCCTTCAAGTTGTACCGAGAACTTCGAGATTGTTTAAACGTCCGTATTTTACGTAGAATGGAAGTTGGAAATATCAACTACAATGATTGTGTTGTATTTGGTATATTAGGATATTTATTTGAAATAAAGATGGTACTGATGTGGAAGGATGGGGTATACGTGTATGAAGAATTTGGATCCTTCACAATTCCATCTAATTATAACCAAATTCATACCATGAAAGCAGGAGTTTTAAGACTACTAGAATTTATTGTAAGTTTTGTTTATCTTTTATATATATTCTGATTGAATACATAATTTGATCATTCTTAATTATCATGTTACAGTTAACTGTGAAAGAGGAAGTTACAAAAAAAGAAGTCGTTGAATGTAATAATGATACGGTACAAGTGTTGAAGAGAAAATATAGAGAGATCGTCCAGACAACACCTTCGCCGAAAAAAAGCAAAAAAAATAATTAAAAAATGTGTAATTTTTTTTATATGTATATATATATATATATATATATATAACAAATCAGTATAATAATTCGTATTGTTAATTCTATATGGCAAAGAGAAATGTTTGAAGTTTATTCTAACAATAGCAATACTGCGTTAATTGTTAATTGCTATTTATTTTATTAAAATAATGCAATAAAAATAATAATATTTTTTTTCTTTTTAAAAAAAAAACGGATCCATTAAGATGACTCCTTGATAATAATGTAACAAGATTAAATAATAACTAGAGTAGCGAGTAACAAGTGGCCAACAATCACCACCACCTTTTTAATATACTGAAAAAAAAAACAGAACTTTTATTATTTTTATTAAAAATAAATAATTTATAAATAGAAGCAGTATACATAATAAACTATGTATATTAATATAATAAATTAAATATGCATAATAAAAAAATCTTTTTTTTGGCGAGTCAATAGTTTGACATGTATAGTTGTTATAGCTAGCTAGAATATTTACTTCTCCATTGTTTGAGATATTTTCCGTGAGCTAATTATTTTATTAGTATTAGTATTAGTATGAATTTAAAATGGTGACAACTATTTTAACAACCATTCTTGGTTTTCAACATAAAACATAAAATCATATTTATTATTATTGAAAATTTACAGTCGCATAAAAATATTAATATTAATAAATTAATAGTTGCATAATTATTTTTATTTTAAATTTTTCTTGCAATTGATCTATAGATTGAACATGTGCATCTACGATCTTTAACACTTTCAAAGGCCTTTTCAACATATTTATCATATTCATCAGGAGTTAAATCCAAACAATCAAGTGAATGTTTATAACTTTTACTTCCCCAAAACGCAATATCATAGAGAACTTTAGCAATTTTATTGTCTAGATCATTATCCCAATGTCCTGACATTGGTATTTTTTTTTTGAAAAACTGTACATCAGTTATGATGTCAAAATGCTCATTTAGCAAGATATTTTTTATAACTTCAAATGGTTTGGTGGTTAGGCCATAGTTATTTTTTAATTTTTTATCAACTGGGAAAAAAAAAATTTCATAAATTAAATTAAGGTTCATTATGGATATATTTATAAAAATGAAAAATACCTTTATCCATAAGCTCCAAGCATTCAGGAGATCCATCTGTAAAGCTATCATCCATTTCTATTAATTCCAACCATCCATTTGGTTTTGCCACCCTTATCATTTCACATATAGCTTTTGACCAATCATTTATTGGTATAGAAGATTTCATATATCTCATAAACACATAATCAAATGAGTTTGATTCAATATTTAATCCAGTGATTATATTTCCCAGCAAAAAATTTACATTATTAGGTCTAATTTCATTTGGAAATGTTTGAATAATATCAACAGCCAAAAAATTAGCATTTGGGTATGTTGTAGCCATATCTAATGTCCATGCACCACTTCCACAACTTTGAAATAAAAAATCACTAATTAATAATGATTCAATTAATTAATTAATTACATAAAAATAATAAAAATTTATTTAAACTCACCCAACATCCAGCACATTAAAACCATCTCCCTTCTCCAATTGTTTTGTAATTGGTGCTGAAAAATTAGTATCATCCATATATTTTTTGTGCAAGAAATGAATTGTGTTTGTTCTTGCAATTTCATCATCATCAGCTGGAAGAATGTCAGTGCCTTTTTCTGTGCGAACTAAATATTTACGATCTCCATTATAAGATATCGTTGCTTCTGATGATAATTGCTGATTTGAATTTGTGATCACTTTACTTTTTCTTTTTTTTGATGATGAAAGTTTTGCTCCCATTGTCACTTAAATGATATAAGGAATGAATTAGGGAAAAACAACCAAAGGTAGAAAAATTGAAAATTAATATCATTTCAATATATATTTATATTAGTAATGATAACTTAAGCGCGTTAGTTTATTATATAACAATAACTAATATTATATAAGCGTAGAATTAAATCATCGCTGTAGGACAAAAAAGCTTAGTACTCATTAAATACTGTTTTGTTTGCAAAAGAAAAAAAGTACCACCAAATGTGAATTACGTTATACAATAAAGTATTTTTGTTATTAAGTGAGTGTCCGTCATTTTTCTATATTTGTTATAGTTGTGTGGTATATATAGTTTCTATGGCACTTGATTGATTTACCTTGTATGAAATCACTATAAATATTTTTTTGAATTAAATAAACTATACTTTAAGACGGTCATCCGAAATTTTTCTTTAGGTTCACAAGCATACATTCAATAATAAAATTTTGATTCCCCTAAATCGTCACCTTGTTCCTTGTTTCACTGTCTTTTGTTACATGATCAAACTATTGGAATATCAAATTTGTTTCCCCTGTTTCCGTTGACAAATTTAGAAACAATTTCCAAAAAAAAATAAAAAACATTTTGCGATTTATGCTATTAATAATGATGAGCACTTATCCAATTCAAAAGGCAGCTTCTTCTACTAATAATTTACACGACAAAACAACAACAACAAAATACTTATTCTTTCTCTAATACTGTCCAATATTATCGTCAACAACAAAAACGAATTGTTTATCATCTTCAAAACATACATATAAAATTATAATATAAAGAAGCTGCCACTAAAAAGCAAGATAATTCATGGTTAATAACAAAAACGTTATGAGCATTTGGATTAATATCAATATATTTGTTTCCTCTTGATGGAAATTGGGAAATTTTTAAATTTCAACATTAAAAATGCGGGGATTTATGCATATTAATATGCATTAATTATTTTATCGGCAAAAGCAAAAATATCGACTTCGGGTTCATTTTAAACCGACACCATCCCTAATATTAAGTGAGACTATCAGCTGACGACTAGATTTTCTAAATTTGGTGGCAGATATTTAACTTACTTTCCTGATCTTCAAAATTTAGAAATCATCTGCAAAAAATTACAATATATGATGTAACTGTTACACCACACATTAAACTTTTACTAATACACTGATCACAACCAAAAAAAATTATTCCAATTCGATTAATCACCAATTGGGAATTAGAATCTTAATGATGGACACAAATTTATGTAATATGTGTAACTAGAGCCTACGCCTGAACCATAAATAATTATATAAAATTTTGATTCAACAATTCGAACCTAGATACATCAATATTAATATGGACAAAAAGTCGTGCTCATTTTAAGCAATGATTGTACAAAAATGCATGCAATAAATAATATCATTTGTGGATTAGGTTCCGGCAAAATATTTCTCACACCAGAAAAAAAAAATCAATTATTCTTCGACATATGGGGCGTGGACTGCAAAAAAGGCCGAATTTTTATAAAACATGTTTTTGAGAAAAAGGGGTACAAAGTTGCAGATCTTCCTAAGATTTAATATGTCATATAAAACAATTTTCTTGAATATGTCATGATTTTATTATGCAAGTGTGGGTATACTTCTAAGCCAAAAAGATTGTTCGCCTCAATTTATATATTATTGAATTATTATCCCAAAAATTACCAGGAACCAAAATTCGGCTTTTTTTGCTGTCCATGCCCCAATATGATGTTTTTTTTGTAAACGAGCATAATTTTTTGAACAAATCCTTCGAAAAACTAGAATATATCTAGAGTTTTGTCTCACACTATTAAAAAATATCTTTATAAGAAAGATTCTACACAAAAAGTCGAGACTTGTAAAAAAATCAAATTTGACTTTGGTCAAACATACAATAAACGCTTGTTAAGATGTTCAGTTTTAATTAATAAAGGTCAAACTTTTTAATAAAACTGTACATTTTAACAAACGTTTAATTATTGTTAAATTAATTTTTTTGCCAGTGCGAGTTGGTCGTCCTAAAAAAGAATTCATGAAGCGTATACAAAAACATCGACCACTATGACATAAATGTATTCATCCATATTTATGAAGGTCACCATACTACATAATAAATGGTTATATTATGTTATAGCAATGACGATCTTATGTGTATCCATTAACAAGCGGTTTGCGAATTAATGGTTTTCTTTATGGTTTGTGTTAGGATAGTTCGAAGTATTCTAATCCATTTATGGTAAAGTTAACAAGTGTAAACGATATAAGCTCTGTCAATTCATGTTCCGAATCCGTAATCTTGTAGATGAATGCTATCATAAACAGAAATATTGGCTTTAGAAAAATGCAGTCTAAAACTGCAAAGACAAATGATGACCTGATCACATTACCGATTTAAAAATCGTTATTCCATAAATCTGCGAGTATTCGTGGTCATCTGTACCGAAGAATATACTTGTGGATGTTCTGGAAACCGTCAAGCAAAACTTGGATAGCCAAAATATACATCTTGCAAACCTATCATTTAAACTGGGCCCCGTAATGTACTTTTAAAACATGTTACGGAAGCACCAGAGTCACTCACGACGACAGAGCTTACGCCCAAAATATTTCAATGTAAGGGTCAGTGATATTTTTTTAAACTTTAAAATTTTGTGTAATAAAAATTTGATAAATATTTTCTTTCTATAAAATATTTACTATGTAATGAATTTAATTATTTTTTTTAAGATATTAATTTATTAATTACAAAAATTATATTTTTCTTGCAATTAATCTATAATTTGAATATGTAGATCTACAATCTTTAAGACTTTCAAATACCTTATTAATATAATCATCATATCCATCAGGAGTTAAATCTAAACAATCAAGTGAGTGTTTATGATTTTTAGCTCCCCATAACACATTCTCACAAGCAACTTTAGCAATGCTATTGTCAAAATCATTATCCCAATGACCTGATAATGGCACTTGTTTTTTAAGAAATTGTACATCAGTTAGAATGTTAGAATATTCTTTTAAGACATCCTTTATAACTTTAAATGGTCTGTAAGTTAGGCCATAATTATCATTTATTTTTTTTTCAACTAGGAAAAAATTTTATAAATTAAATTAAGTTTAAGATTCATTATGGATATATTTATAAAAATGAAAATAACCTTTATCAAGTAACTCCAAAGATTCAGGAGATCCATTTGTAAAACCATCATCAATTTCTATCAATTCCAGCCACCCATTTGGTTTTATCAATCTTATCAGTTCACCAATAGTTTTTGACCAATCATTTATCGGTATGTAAGATCTCATATCTCTCATAAACACATAATCAAATGTGTTTGATTTAATACTTAGTCCAGTGATTACATTTCCCAGCAAAAAATTTGCATTTTTAGGTCTAATTTCATTTGGAAATGTTTGATAAATATCAATGCCTAAAAAATTAGCATTTGGGTATGTTGTGGCCATATCCAATGTCCATGTGCCATTCCCACAACTTTGAAATAAAAAACAACACAATAATTAATTAAACAATTACATAAAAATAGTAATATTTTTATTTAAACTTACCCAACATCCAGCACATTAAAACCATACTCCTCCCTCAATTGTCTTGTAATTGGTGCTGAAAAATTAGTTTCATCCCAAATTTTTTTGTGCAAGAAATGAGCTGTGGTTTTTCTTGCAAATTCATCATCATTAACTGGAAGAATATTAGTGATTTCTTCTGTGGAAACTATAAATTCACGATTTCCATTATAAGATGTCATTACTTCTGATGAAAATTGCTGATTTGAATTTGTGCTTGCTTTTTCTTTATTTTTTTGTTTTTCTGGTGCTGAAGGTTTTGCTCCCATTGTTTTACAATTAATAATCTAAATGGAAAGGATTGATATTAACAGCAAGAAAAAATGAAGGAAAGAATGGAGAAAAAAACAATCAAAGGTAGTAAAATGAAAAAATGAAAAATAAATAACATGCATTAAATTATTATAAGCAAAGCGCACCACATAAAATCCAATTAAATTATCATAACACGAATTCACCCTAAAAATTTAATACGGCACAGCATGTTTATGTATTATTGAATCCAAAACTAAACTAGACTCCAATTTGATGTTTTTGAAACTCCTGAGCTGTTCAAAAAGAGGTAGTAAAAGAGTTTGACTCAAAAGTGATTGAAAGGTTTAAAGAAATGTTCCTGCTATATAACAAAGTTACACATGGTATATATTCAAAATCTTCAAAAATATTTCTTTCTCTTAAATAAAGTTACACGCAAATGTATATATACATATAATAATGCGACTCGCTGTTGTACAATTTATATAATGATACACAGTCATAAAAAAAATATTCATGCCAATCTAGGCATTTGTACTCAAAAGGTATTAGTATCCAAAGAAAAATACTGATGTGGAATAGAGAATATGAAATGGATTCCATATAATGAATTTGATATGTATATCGTTCCGCAGTTTTGAAATTCATCACGTCCAAGAATTTAATAAAAACGTTATCTGGATTACATATGTAAACTCGATAAGTCGGTCATGTGGGGGTGAGCTCATATTACTGACTTATCGAGTAAACCGACTTATCGAATTAAATTACTTAAATATTAAGAAAATGGGGTGAAATTTTTGGCCAACTTATCGAGTTTACATATTAATATGTAATATCAATATATTCGTTTCCTTTAAAATGGAAATTCGGAAAGTTTAAATTTTAACATTAAAAATTTATGCATTAATATTATTATTATGCAAATTACTTCCTAATATCTTTTAGTGCCCATTATGAAAAAGGAAAAGAAAATCAAGCTACAGTTTAACCACGGACCATTCATAACATTAAGTAAGCTATCAGTTGACGATTAAATTTTTTTAATACAGGAGGAGTGTGAATAACAAAAATGGGGGTGCGAATAACAATTCCCAAAAATTATTTTATTAATTTATTATATATTATGTATGTGTAACTAGGGCCTATGTTCGAACCAATAATATAAAATTTTGATTTAACCAATTATGTGACTCGAACCAGATACACTATATGGAGCTCACTTTTAAACAATAATTGTCTATAATAAAATAAATGTCATTTTGTGGCTTAGGTATTTATCGTATTAAAAAAAAAATCAATTATCAAAAACAACCTATAATCTTGGAGATATTAATATGATAATACACGTCTTGGACAATCATTATATTTGTTTTGGAATTTTTTGTAAACGAGCATAATTTTTTGAATCCTTCGAAAGGTTTTAAACTCAAAATGTCATTTTAAATGCGGCGGAATCATTTGGTCCTTATTACAACTGGAATATATCTAGGATTTTGTCTCATATATATGTAAACTCGATAAGTCGGTCATGTCGGGGCGGACCCTTGTGACCGACTTATAGAATTTCACGTGATTTTTTAAATTAAATTTTTTTTTAATAATCTTTTATCTCAAACATTGGAAGGTTGTGAAATCAACCTTTTTATGCATATTTCTGAACATAATAAAATTTAATAGGAATACAAATGTATCTCTTCGCATGATATAATCAATGATATAAGTGATGATATAAATGAGATAAAAAATATAGATGTATTGTTCGCAATTAGACAAGAATGTTCTCTAAATTGTTGAATGATACAATCGATGATAAAACTGCAGAGATAATAAAATATTAATGCATTATCATCAAATGGTAAAGAAAAGAATGTGTGATTATGCATTATAACTAATAGAAGTAATAAAATATAAACGTAGTTCACAAGTGAGAATGCTCTCTTCTTTCTTAATTATAAAAAAATGAACAATAAATATAATTCTTTTACATCAGATATTTTATTACAAATAATCATTTTGCTAATGACAATAATAATGATAACCCTTCACACAATGAAATATCACGTGAGACCGACTTGGACAAATTTATATAATAAAATTTACTAAGCAAAAAAACATTGGTTTTAAATGATATCATCTTGTTTAAAGGAACATTTTAATTGATTTCGTTTTGTTTATAACGAACATTTTAATAGATAACTAATTTATATTGGAAAGAGAAAAAGAGAATGAAATGAATTATGAATTTTCTGATAATTTGCTTCAAAGACATTACAAATAAAGTTCAGTGGAATTAAAGATAAAAATAAAAAATAAAAAATAAAAAATTCCATATACAATAATTTGCACGACCGATATACCAAATTACTAATCTCGTCATAACGGATTTATATGCGACCATAATCCGCTGTGACAAGATTTTCACAATATCAAAAAATATATATAATTCATGGATATTGTTTATTCGAATAAAATATAAAAACCAATTAAAATTTTCCATAGTCCTTGTATAATAATAAATAGTAGTAATTGGCATTTTCTTTTCTATTCTTAAGTCATAGTAATATAGATTATAAATATAATCATTGTAACTTATATTATTTGGTTAAAGAAAAAAAAACCGAGTAAAACGGATAAACGAATAAAACTAGTGAAATAATAATTGATTTTTTAATTCGAATTAAGAATTTGTATTACGAATAGAAATCCTATTACTATATGGATACCAATGATGTCATGAAGTACAAGTAATTTAAATATACGGGATCAGAAATAAGGATTTCTATTCAAATGAAGTTTATTCGAATCAAAACGAATGATTCGTAGTCAATTTGAGTATTCGAATTACATTGAATGGTCACATTTACCCAAAAAATTCATTTTTTGGAAAACTGCTATTTTTACTATCTGGTTCTATTTGAATAATTTAAGGCTTTATCCGAATTCATCAAATCACATTGAACGATTGTTCGAGTAAATTTTCATTTGAAACGAATGATTCGAATGAAGATTATGAATATCTACAACTAGAATGAATGATTTCCACCGGTAAAAAACCTTTTCCGGCTAAGAGCTTGGATCAAATAATTGAAAAAAATTGAAAAAAATTGCTAATAGATAAACTTGTAAAATGATAAATATATCATTCGTCTAATATATAAAATAAATTCTTTTTACTTGGTAAAAAAAAAATTCACCGCGATCTAAAAACTTGATCTATTTACTTTAACTTAACTTAGTTTCATGTTTGTATCTCTTTATTTGAGGGCCTTGATATAATTTTTTATTTAGAAAAAGTTTATTGTTGACATTATGTTATACATCACCTAATTTTGATTTAATTAGGGCCACCCCCAACAATATACTGTATGTGCAGTATATACTATTTCCAGCCCTGCCTGATATAAAACATATAAAATAGAATCTATTCCTATTTCGTCTTCGTCTCTTTATTTTCATCATCGCCATTTTTATTTTCATGTTTGTATCTTTTTTTAACTGAGGAATACTAACAACATGGTGTTTAAGGAGTGCTATTACAGCATTAAGTTGTTGTTTCATTAAAGTCAGTTTGTGGGTTGGGGTGGTAGGAATTACATATAGAGGTTGGAATCGACTAAAATAGTCGACTAAACTTTTTTTTGAACAACTAATAGTTGACTATCATAATCGACTAAATAGTCGACTACTAATACTAATAATACTAATACTAATACTAATGTTATTATTGTCTGATCAATTACGATTTTTGTGTTTTATCATTCAAAATGGAAAATTTTTATGCGGAAGAGTATCAATACCATCAATATGATGATGACGACAATAGTGGTGTGTTGTTGATGATGATGATTTTAGATGTGAATGAATAAACACTTCGAACACAAGGTCCAATAGTTCATAGGCTTCAAGTTCCAATGATTTAAGCGGTGGTTCCAGAAGACCTTTAAAAAAGCGAATTGTAACACATAGTTTTGTGTGGAAGCATTTTGAAAAAGTGAAAGATTCAAATGGAAATAAATTCGTAATTTGCAAATTAAAAAAAAAAA